TTCTAGATTAAAAAGCTTCTCTAATTTCTTATTTAAGGTAGTATTTAGATAGATAGTTTAAATAGTAAGTTAAGTAATATTTAGTTACTTTAGTATATATAGTAACTATAGTATTATACTATCTAATTACTATATTATACTACTATGTAATTTCTTTAAGCTATTCTCTATAATAATACTACATTTATATATTTTATTAAACTAGTTTAAGAGATAAGCGAAGAACTTATACTAGAGAATAGACTTCTTTAGAACTTCTATAGGAAGTACTATAGATAAGTTAATATCTATAAAAGCTTATAGAGCGTTAAAAGCACTACCTATAGATATAAGTATATTAAAGAAAGTAGAAAAGTATATAATAGGCTATAGTAGAGCTATAATAAGAGATAATTAGTAGATATAATATAATATATAATATAGAAAGGGTTAATATTAGAACTTAATTTATTAGAGTAATATATAGAATAGTATATAAGATTAGAAGATATAGAAATAAAAATAAAAAGAAAACTCTATAAATAGAGTAAATAACTTAGTATATAACTTTAGAATAACTAAAGATTTAAATAGTAAGAAATTTTAAGTTTGAACTATAATAAAAGTACCTTCTAATAGCTTAGCTATTTATAGTTAAACTTTCTTTACTAAGCTTACTAGTAAAATGCTAAGAAAGTAGAAAAAGCTTATTTCTTAGTAAGTATAAGCTTTATTATAGTTTTTGGTTTAAGAACCTAAAGAGTATAGATAAGTCTTATATTATATAAGTTTTTATGGCTATAGGTTATCTAATTAGAAATTTAAGGCTAAAACTAGACTCTCTATATAATTTCTCTTAGTATTTCTTAGTAAGTACTTAATTTCTCTAATAACTTTTTAATTAGTAGAGCTATAGCTATAAAATTTAAAATATAGTATTAGTAAGCTAGCTTCTATAGATTTCAGTTTTCAAAACACTTACGAAGCTAATAGTTATTAAGTTATTAGTCTTTTAGGTTTTCTAGTATCTACTATAAAACTCTCTTTAATCTTAGATAATAAAATAAGTAGCTACTATTTCTAGACTACTAACTGCTTGATTTATACTTCTAGATAAGTACTATATAGTATTAATTTATTATATAATTGTATCAAGTAGCTATTAAGTTATTAATCTTTAAATTTATTAGAGTACTTATGTAAAAAGTTAGCGGAGCTAGTAGTAAAATAGACTAAAATCTAATAGCTTGGACGGCTCGGAGCCGGCTCTAAGTAATCGAAGCCGCATGCAAGTATCTTAGAGATAGTCGAGCTGCGAAGCAAAACGCCTGTAATAATAGTAAAAAAACCTCTTACGCGTAAGTAATATAATAGTAAATAGTAATTAAAAGCTTTTAGCTATAATTTAGTATAAGTTTTTTATAAGAAGAGAGTCTTATAAATACTTACTAGCTACTTTATAGTATTCTTTATAGTATTAGTTTTATTAAATACTTTCTAGATATTAAAACTATCCTATACTAGCTAGAGCTTTATTCTAACTGGAATCTAATTCTATTTTACTATACTGCTAACCTAGGCCCACCCTAGATTGCTTTATAATTGTACTTAAAATAAATAAATAATAATCTTTTTAAAAAAGTAGCTTCTAGCTTCTTCTACTAAATATTATTCCTATATATTTTATAGCTAAATAAGTCGCTTCTAAGCTATTATTTAGTAATTATAGTTAAAATTATATGTTTATACCTAGTGTACTATTCTAAGCTAAGTTCTTATAAGGTTAATATAATACTTATACTATAATACTAAGTTAAATAAATTCTCTCTCTAACTATTATTCTATCTATTAATACTCTATGTCTAGTAGAGCTCTTAGAGTCTGTAATACTAGTAGTTTCTCACTATAATAAGTTTATAGTGTATATATTAATATTCTTGATAAAAAATATTTTTCTATTATATACTATCTTAGCGAAAACTATAGCTACTACTAAAACTTCTATTATAAAAACACATATAGCGCTATAAAAAACGCTATTAGTTAAAATTATAAAACTATAAAATCTACTACTTATATTGTTAAGTTTATTCTTACTTTATTAATATACTTACTTTATAGCGCTCTATAACCGCGAGAATTAGAGTCTTAGGAATCTAAAATTTTAGCTAAAGCTTTATTATGACTATAGAGCTAGTAGTTGCAGCTAGTATACTATAGCCATAGCTTAGCTATAAAAATACTAACTACTAACCGCGCTAACCGTACTAACTATATATATATCTTAGATTACTAGTTTAATTTCTAGTAGAACTATACTTTTTCTTTTTAGCTATAAGGTAGATATAGATTCTTAAGGGTATTCTATAGTTCATAAAGACTTAATAGAGTAGAAAGAAGCTTAATAGAATAGTGTAATAGATACTATCTCTAGATAATAACACCTACTACTATAAAGTAATATAATTCCAATTAAGGAGTTAGGGAATAGAGTAAGATATAATAATAGATTAATATTACTAAGCAATAATCGAATATATTATAAGAATATAAGATTCTTATATTAAGTTAAGTATACTATTCTAAGAGATAAGAATAGTGCTACCTATATCCTATAGCCTTAAGTAGGTACCTCTATACTATACTTAGTCTACTTAGTATACTTAATTACTAAGTATAGTAAGTAGACTAATTACCTCTTAGTAGTACTCTAGTACTTAATTCCCTTATAACTTCTTAGTATTAAGCACTTAGTAGTATGCCGCATCTCTATTTGTAATAAATAGAAAGAGGCTTAATAGAATAAAAAGAAACTTGATAGAGTAGAAAGAAACTTAATAGAGTAGAACGAAACTTAATAGAGTAGAAAGAAGCTTAATAGAGTAGAAAGAAGCTTAATAGAATAAAAAGAGACTTAATAAGATAGAAAAAAGCTTAATAGAGTAGATAAATACTTATATAACAAGAGAAATCTTAGAAAACTTTATAGTCTAATAGTATATATAGAATTTTTTATATTTTATAAGCTTATGTTTCTATATATATAGCTAGAGTTTAGATATATTAATTTATAGGACTAGAAAGTATTATATAGCCTATAAATACTAGAGAGCTATACAATCACTAACTATAGAAGGTATAGTATAATTGTATTAATATTACACTATAAAACTTTCACTATATTTTATATAGTTTACATTAATGTAATAAAGGCTATATTAATAGAAAAGTAAGATATATAGGTAATAGAATCTTACTTAGAGTAGAATTTTACTCACTATACTTGAAATCCAATAGCTTGTTTAAAAGTTTAAATGATAAAATTAAATATATATATGTATATCTATAGATTTGAAAGAGAAAATAAAAAAAATTATAGTATAGAAAGATTTAATACTAAAACTGTTTTGCTTAGATAGTATATAAAATAGTATAAAGAGTCAGGATAATTAGTAAGCTTAATAGAAAGAAACTAAACTAGAAACTAGATTGGAAACTAAAATAAAAAGTAAGTTATAAGTATACTAGAATAGAAACAAACGTTGAATATTAACTAAAGAATAATCTAAATATTTAAATAACTAAAAATTAAGTAATAAACTAGATAGTAAGTTAAATATGAAACTAAGCAATAGGCTACCTAATAAACTACCTAATAAACTGCGTGGTAAACTAAGTAGTAAACTAAGTAGTAAATAAAGTAGTAAATTAAGTATAAAGCTAAGTAGTAAACTAAGAGAGTAACTAAAGAATAAATTAAAAGATAAACTAAGAAATAGAATAAGAAATCTAGTAAATAATACACTAAGAATTGATCAAAAAATATACTAAGAAATATACTAAAAAAGAAACTAGAAACAGATAATAATAAAACTAAAAAGAACTAGAATCTACATAGAAAAAAGAAGATGACTCTTATATATAAAGTAAAGAGAACTAGAGAAGATTTATAAAAGAAAATACCTCTTATCTTGAAAGAAAGAATAGCGGGTTTAAGGGAGAGAATTTCTCTTAGAAAGAAACTAATCTATATTATACTTAAGTAGAAAAGTTTAATAAACTTAGCTAGATTAGAAGCTTAGATAGGTAGTGTACTAAAACTAGATTAAGAACTAAACTAATAACTATACTCTAAACTAAACTAGAATCTGAACTAGAATTTCTACTAGAAATTGAACTAAAAACTAGACTGGAATTTAAGTTAAAGATTAGATTTAATTAGAAATAAAGCTATAATTATAAGTATAAAGTACTCTAGAAACTAGTTTAGATTCAGAACTAAATAGTAAGCTATATAGTAAAATAAGAGATAAACTAAAAGATAAATTGAAAGAATAATAAAGAGATAAACTAAAAGATTAATTAAGAGATGAATTAAGAAATAAATATAGAGATTGAATAAGAAATAAAGTATAAAATAAACTAAATAGAAACTAAAAGTTAAGAAGAATCTATCATATATAGAATAAAGAAGATTAAGGGAGGTTTAAATAATAAAATACATCTTGTATAAGAAAAAGAATAATAGAGATACTTAAAGAAAAGAAGTACTTTTTATAAAATATAGATATACTAAACTCTCTCTATTAATACTCTAAACTGTTTTAGTATGAAATAAGTATATCTAGTATATCTTATTATTATATTACTATATTAATCCTAAGAATCCATTTCTTCTAATAATATATAAAGTCTTTACTATAATTATTATTTAATAAGTAATAAAATATATACTTCTACTATCTATTTTTTAAGATATATAATAGTTTAAAGTTCTTTTATACAATAGCTTAGCTAATTTAGATAAATTAAATATAAAGATACTAATTAAATAGAAACTTAGTATATATAAGTAAGATCCCATAACTCTCGTTATAGTCTTAGTAATAGTATTATAATTAATATAGAGCTATTTTAAGTTCTTAGATCTCGGAGCGGCCTAAACTTTTATATGACTGTACTTACAGCCTCGCTCCAATAACACTACACCAGCATTGCTACTCCCACCACCACCTTCGAAATGACAGACTCCAACCCCCTCATCCTCTACGACATCTCTTCACCTATAGAACCCCGCTCCTACGCGCCTAATCCTTCTAAGGCCCGTCTCGCGCTTAGCTTCAAATGTGTACCCTTCAAGACGACCTGGGTCGACATCCTCGACATCTCTAACGTTCGCAAGGGGCTCGGCTGCCCGTCCGGCCGTAAGTTCGACGATGGCTCCGACTTCTACACGCTGCCCATGTTGCGGGACCCGATCTCGGGCAGGGTCGTTGGCGACTCGTTCGACATCGCCAACTATCTTGAGGACATGTTCCCGGACTCAGGCGGCTGCCTTTTCCCTCCGGATTCCACCCGCACCGGACTCGACTACGAGAGCCCGAATAAGGACACGGCATTCTTCGCGCCCCTGACTTCCAACCAGGGGTCCAAAAACGAGGCCTACGCGAGGTTCAACATACACGTCGACGCCACCTTCTCCGCCCATGTGGTGCTCGTCGGCCAGTACCTCCCCCTCAACCCAAACACGGCCGAGGCTGTAAGGGCCCTCTTCGTCAAGCGCGCACACCTGAGCTCCTGGGATGATATCTGCGTTCAGGGCGAGGCAAGAGAGCAGCTCAAGGCGGCGTTCAAGGTGGCGCTAACGTCACTGGCCCAGCTATTTATGGTCCACGAAACCGGACCGTACCTTGAGGGGAAACAGGCTAATTATGCCGACCTGATCGTGGGCGGGTGGCTGAACATGCTCTCCGCCACTATGCCCGAGGAGGAGTGGAAGGATTTCAGGACGTGGCATAGTGGAGTCTTTGCCCGGCTGCATGATACCTTACAGGAGAACTATTTCGAGTGCAAGTAGAGGGTAGAGGGTGCTATGGTTTCGGCTATATAGCGACTGGACTAATTTCTTATATCTAGCGAGGTTCAGGGTGTTTAATACACTATCTAACCGCGTTGGACAGCCTCGGCCAGTCCGATGGAGCAGTAGGCGGCTACCTAGTAGTCGGACTATCAGGAAGTCTACAGGCGCTCGGAAATTTAGTACTAGTCGAGGTTGTCTAGGACGCTGCGAGCGGCTTGTAAGTAGCTTAAAAGCGCGTAGAAACACTATAAGCGCTCTAAGTATTCTAGATACTCTAAGCACTCTCGCCTGGCTTGAATTTTGATGAGACGGATCGATGTAAGACTCAGGAGTGGTTTGTATTAATGTTGCTCCATCTTGAGCGGAGAGATCCAGTAAGCCTAGGCAGAGAGCAGCCAGTCTTATTAATTCAATAGGATAGAAGGAGCGAGGAAAGAAGAAGGTGCGATCAACATCGACTTATTAGGAGCCTATTCTCCGTAGCTGAAGGTTCGTATTCCCATACAGTATTATGATGAGGCTGCAGGTTGCTGCAGGACTGTCGGTGTGACCGACTAGGGAGCCTAGCGGCGTAGGGTTAGAGCCACAGCGTCGCGATTGGGCGGTGCTGGGGTTGCGAAACAAGGAAAGAGTAACTAGGCTAGCCGGTGGGAGTAACGTGAACCTAAGAACGTTTATAGCTAGTCATAAAGCTGCGTTCTGCATACCGACGAGGCGAGGGGATAGGGTGGTAAGGTAGTAGGATGAAGTGATGAGACAATAGGCTGAGAGCGTGGAAGAAGTCGGGTTTCTTTCGCAAAAAGTAACATTCCGGCGGGTATTTACCGCGCTAGATAGAGGTCCTATAAATCTTACCCTACCTAAGAAATTAGTACTAAGGTTTTAGACGCTACGTGATCTAGATACGTCTAACTATACTAATAGCTATAGCGCGCTTATAAATTTTAAGGACTAGCTCTTATAGCCTTACCTTTTATAGGCGCGCTCTAGCCTATAGCTTTAGCTAATATAGTCTAGTGTTTTACGCTACTCTAGAGTAGCCTATAGAAGTTAAAAATATAAAGAAAAGAATTTAAATATATTAAGAGTTTATTAGTAAAATCTTAAGCGCTAGAGTATCTACTAAGATTATTACTTTAATAAAAGAAATACCTTTTTATACTACTAAATTTACTAGAGGAAACTATATAAAGCTATTTTTAAGCTCTAGAGTAATATTTAATATATAAATTTAGTATAAGAGAGTAATATTACTTCCTTGTTTTTTTTAAGAAAGTAATAATAAAAGATTTTTAGCGCGCTATAGGCGCTAAAATTTTTAGACTAACTCTAATTTTAAAACTTCTAAGCTATAGAAGCTAAATCTTATAGACTATAAGATTTTAAAGCTTATATTTATATATTTTTAAAATAGTCTTTATTTATAATTATAATTTATTATAGATATAAATAATTATAGAAGTATTATAAGCTAGCGCTTAGTATAGGGTTTATCTAGAGCTAGTAGAATTACTAAACCTATTACTATTATCCGTACTATTTCTAATAATAGTAGATAATAGGGATAATAGAGAATACTAGTACTACTATCTATATTATCCCTAAAAAGAGTAGATAATAGGAATAATAGGGACTATTAGTATAGTCTAAGTATATAGATAGTAAGAGCTTCTCTTATAGAAACCTTATACTTAACTTAATATAAGAATCTTATCTTCTTATAACTAATCCAATTATTACCCTATAATATTAATCTATTATTATTATCTCTTACTCTATCCTCTAATACCTTAATTAGTACTATACTATACTATACCCTAGTACTTACTGTTAATACCTCGAGATAGTAGCATGTTATAAGAATTCTTAGTAGTTCTAATAAATTCTATTTATTCTTATTCTATAGTTAAGAAATACCTTTTAGTTCTAAGTATTTACAAGCTATAGTAGAAGGCTAGTATAGATCTACATCTTACCCTTATTAATATAAGAATAGCTTATCAAAACTAAAAGATTAACCTTAATATTTCTAATACGCTTATTCTATATTCTTCTGGTTAAAATACTTTTATAAAAGATAAGCTTTCTAAATAATTTCTACCTACCTTATATAATACTACTACTTTAACTTAAAATCTCCTATTAAGAAGTCTTATTACTTATTTTAATAAAGGCTATAAACTAATGTAATTATCTAGATAAAAATAAGTTAATATAATAAAGATTATAAGATAAATAATAGGAGCGCTTAGAATAACTAACATTTTATATTAGGAAAAAATTTTCGGCGCTTAGAGCTACTAAGAGCACTTGGAACCCGCTCTAAGTACTTAGAGTCTTTAAGTAACTCTACTTACTTGCAAGCCACTTATAAGCGGCTTAGAGTATACTAAAACGCTCTAAGTACTTAGAGCGGGTCTTGGCGCCAAGCCTGCTTAGTTATTACCAATTTTTTTAGAAAAAGCTTTAAGTCCAATTTAACTAGTAGTATAGGGTGTTACGAACCGCGGCAGATGACGCGGAATAAAGGTAATTAGTGCTAAACGTCACGTGAGGGCCTAATTACTCAAAATGCCAAGGAAGAGCCTAATTAGTGTAATTAGTGTGATTAGAGACGGATTACTCTAATTAGGGGGATTATAGCGCGAGGTATTATAGTATATAGATAGCACTATTCTTATTTATTAGAATAGTATACTCAACTCAAATAAGAATCTAGTATTCTTTATAACTTAATCTAATCTTACTACGTGATATTAATCCTTATCTTATTAACTATATCTTAGCACTATTCCCTATCTCCTTAATTAGGGCTCTAACCATTATAGTAACCTTTATTATCTCGTAATAGCACCTCGTTACATAGGGAGGGATATTATAGAACTAGGTTAGAGAGTAAACTTTTAATAAAAACAATTATTATCTGCTTAACTTTTAAAAATATAGATATGTTACCTATTTTTATAGGGGGGTAAAAGTTAAGCGAGAAAGAGAACTCTAGGATTTTTTACATAATTTATATTTTTTATACTTACTAAGTAATTTATACCCGCCCCGATTGATTAGAGCGCTCTAAGCAACTTAGATGTCTTAGACTAATGCGAATTTCACGAGCACCTAAATTTTTCCTAATATACTTTAAGTATTACTTTTTTAATCTATTCCACGCCGCTATATTAATACTATAGTAGAGCTAGCCCGAATACTTAAGTAGAACTAGTATCTCCTTAAGTTTAATATAAGATAATTTATACTAGTCTTAAAATAAATAAGGGATATTCTCTAGATAAGAGATAACTCTATAGAATTATTTATTATTAGTATTAATAAAGCGGATCTCTTAACTATTAATAGTAATAGTTTAAGGAATTTGACTAATATTATAAGGAGGCTAGTGCTAGGAGTTAATATATTTAGTAGCCTTACTAATACTTACTATATATTTTAGGAGAGTTTAAGTAGCTAGATAGAATATCTTAAGTAATTTAAAGTTATTTACTTAAGCTTTTATCAAAAAGATAAAAGTCTAGCTTTCGACTTAATTAAAATATTTAAGTTAAGATTAATTCTTTAGAAAATAGTAACCTTAGTAAGAATAGAAGTGGAGCGCTAAGGCGCTTAAATATACTAAAATACTAAAGTATAAATCTTAGTATTAACTTTAGTGCTTTAATCTAGGTTTATACTACTAGACAAGAGGCTTAGATTCTCTTGAAACTTTTAAAGTATTACTATATATATAAGATAAATCTTAAAAGAATTTATATCTTTAATTTTATTATTTTTAAAGTGTAGAATATAGATTTCTTTTTTCTATCTAGTAGAAGTAAAGTTAAATAAAACTAAGATTATAAAGATAAGTTATTAAGGAAAATAAACATTTTAGTTTGAATAGTAATATCTCTAAATACTCTTCTTTTTACTCTAATAAACTCCTCTATAAAGGTAATAAGCTACTTAGATCTAACTAGAATATTAATATTTTTAGTATTTATCTAAGTATTTACTAGATTACTTAAGATATTATAGTTAAGCTATTACTTCTTTTATTTTAGAGGTATATTAGAAAGATTGTTAATAACTAAAAGAATAAATTTTTTTTAATAAGAATTTTAAGGAATTAATTAGTTTTACTTTATACTATTTAAGAAGGGTAAATATTTATACTAGCTTTAGAGCTATCTTATTCTACTTTTTATTAGCTTCACTCTATTCTTCTTAAATTCTTTAATAGACCTAAAATACCCCAATAAGTTAAATAAGAACTAGCTAATTTTATACTAAGGTTATAGTACCTAAAAGCCTTAACTATATAGCTATTAAAAATCTAGATTCTTAAATATTTTATTTAATTTCTTATATTTTCTTAAGAATACTAAGTATCTTAGAATATTAGCTTATTCTAGAGCTAAGATCTTGCTATAAGTAGAAGATCTAGTTATATAGCTTAAAATAAATAAAAATCTTAAGAAGTAGTAGGTAGAGATTATAGGAAATACAAATAGAGTTACTAAACATTTAAAGCCTTTTAAGCTTATTTATTAAGCTGTAAAGAATACTCTTACTCTAAGTATACTAAAGAGTTATTAGGGGTAAGAAATCTTATTTTTTTTTTAAGATAATAGCTCTAGGAACTTATACTTATTAAGTTATAGATAAATTAAAAAGTTTAAGAAGTTTATAGCTAAAGCTATACTAGAGCTAAAAGAATTTATAAAGGCTCTAAATATATAAATATTACTACTTATATACTCTTAGATCTAAAAGACCTACGAATCTATAGAACCTAAGTTAGAATTTCTTTTACTATAAGAGAGAGAAAATTAAATCTAGTTTTATATATAAAAGAGATAAGCTATAATCTTATATTATTATATATATAAGCTATAGCTAAGAACTAATTAGTAGAATTAAACTTTTAATAGTAGTTTCTCTAGTAATCTAGTAGTATCTAATATTATTATAAGATATATAAGAAATCTTAAGTAGAAAAAAGT